CACACCCAGCGTGAGTTTTAAGCTGCCAGGTCCAGGACTTGAACTGCGGTCGACTACGTGGGTGTCCAATGTCATAACCATTATGCCATCTGTTGGTCCCATTGAACTGTATTCTTTAAAAAAGATACATTTTTGAAAAAGCTTCTTAAGCATTTCACATGACTAAGTTTTTAAAAAAGCAACTGAATTTGTGGCTTTCTTTTCAGATTCTCTACAAAACTTGTTCTAAGGAACTGAATGGCATAAAATCTTAACATTTATAGAATTTTTCTCTAAAGAACAGTGAGATTTGCAATATGGCGCAATTTCATAAAAGAATCACTCAATGGAGAGAAACTCTTAAGCACAATCTAGCTAGCTTCATACACTGACCTGTAAGAGTCAAACTTGACACACATAAATGGTGATAATATTTGCTCTGGAGGTTAACACTTCCATGCCTCCCTGGTCTCGAACAACTTTGTTTTTTTAAATTTCAGGAGGAAAACAACCACCTCAAGGAATGATGGAAAACCCAAATTTGCATTCACTTCACTATTTTACAAAGTACAAGACTACCCATGTTGGCTGCAGCGTGGTCTGCCCAGCCACAGGAAAACGATGGCATTGCAAGAGGATCTTACATACCCTGTCTCCTCCCTACCATCACTAAATGCCGCATCACTAGAGCTTGGTACTGTCTGTTCTAGGCAACTCTGAATCGCACACCAGTCTTTTCCCAGGGGAATATTTATCTATATTTACATACCTTTGAACCTTGTCTGTACTTACTTTATGTTCATTTATTTTTTTGGCAAGTAAATACTGTATGTTTTGATGGGGTACAATGTGATGTGCTGATACATGTACATGCTGTGGGATGATCATGCCAGGCGAAGTGACATATCCATCACCTCACGTTATAGTCCATCCTGCTACAAAGCCTAAACAGCCCCTGAAAGGTGAAATGATAATATACAAAACACTTCAGTAATTCAAAATATAAATGAAGGACAAGTTCTTTAGTGTCAAATGCTTCCTTATTAAAATTAAATATTAATGCTTTCAATTTTACTAAATTACTTGATATATCATTAAAAATGTATTTAAAGGAACCAGCAGTTAGCGTAATGGCTGTGTCACTGGACTCCCATGTAGTCGACTGTGGTTCGAGTCCCG